TGTACCCCATTATGCTTCAATTAAAAAGACCTACCAGGTGGGGTTGCTCGGGCCTATAATCTCAGCGTTTTGGGAGGGCAAGGTGGGAGGACCACGAGAGCCCAGTAGTTTGTGACCAGACAGTAGTTTGTGAATATTTCTACAAAAAAGCGTTTTAAAAATTAGCCCAGCATGGTGGTACACACCTGTAGTCCCAGCCACTCAAGAGGCTGAGGCAAGGGGATTGCTTGAACCCGGGAGTTTGAGGCTGCAGTGAACTGTGATTTATGCCATGCATTCCAGCCTGGATGACAGAGCAAGACCCTATCTCTTGAAATGGCTCTGTAGGACCTTTTGTGACCAGAAATAAGAAGACCAAAAACTGAAGTGGGAAGACATGGAACTGAAATCCCTGTGTATACTGGGGGAATTGGGTTGTCACAGTCATTACAATCTAGCATTGTTTTTGCTTGATGGTTTGGGGGTATATTTGTGAGTACCGACACTACTGGAAATAAAAAAGGAATAGATGGTGCATTTCTGGCTACTCCAGGAAACACTGGATGAATACATGACTATTGAAGGTGCATATGGAACATGGTGTTGAGTTTTTGCTTTCTCATCTGTGTGAAGCCAAGAAAGTGCTCGTTTTGGCCTACCTTATATACCTAAACCATATATACAAACTAAAGGCCAAGCAAATTTAAATTAGAACTAGAAAGCAACAAGAATGGTTGAGGTTTCAATGTGACTCAAATTAATAAGATATGTTTCTTCACATTTTCCAAGTCATCCTTTGAAAATCTGAGGAAAACTGTAGACTTAAGCAAAATGTACCCATGCTTGCAATTTTTCATAAATTCAGAAAGTCAATTCCAGGGGTAACAGAAGCTCATCCTCAGGTCCAGGTGAGGAACTCTTCTGACTTACACCAGTCCCCCAAGTTTGCCTGATAACAGGAGTCAGCTGTGGGACCCTTGTTAAACTGCAATTCCTGAGTTTCGGCCCACATCTACTGAGTCAAAAGCCAGGGGAAATACCTGGTAATATTGTTACTGGAAAAGGGTCCCGATCCAGACCCCAGGAGTGGGTTCTTGGATCTCGTGCAAGAAAGAATTCAGGGCGAGTCCACAGAGTAAAGTGAAACAAGTTTATTAGTAAAGGAATCAAAGAATGGCTACTCCATAGAGCAGCCTTGAAGGCTGCTGGTTGCCTTTTTTATGTTTTTTTTTTTTTTATGATATGCTAAACAAGGGGTGGATTATTCGTACCTCCCTTTTTAGACCATATAGGATAATTTCCTGACACTGCCATGGCATTTGTAAACTGTGGCACTGGTGGGAGTGTAGCATTGAGGACGACCAGGGGTCACTCTCATGGGCATCCTGGGTTTGCCGTTTTGGCTGGCTTCTTTAGTGCAACCTGTGTTATCTGCACGGTCTTTATGACCTGTATTTTGTGCTGACCTCCTATCTCGTGACTTAGTATGCCTTAACCATCTGGGAATGCAGCCCAGTAGGTCTCAGCCTCCTTTTTACCTAGCTCCTGTTTAAGATGGAGTTGCTCTGGTTCACATGCCTCTGACAACATTGAACAATTGCTCTAGAGCAGCACTGTTCACTAGTGATGTAATATGAGCCTCAAATGCAAGGCATGTATGTAATTTTAAATTTTCTAGTAGCCCCATGGAAAATGTAAAGAGACACACATGAAATTAATTTTAATAACATGTAACCCAGCGTATCAAAAATATTTCAACATGTAATCAGTATTTTTAAAACAAAACAGGTATTTTACTTTTTTTTTGTAGTTGTCTTCAAATTCCAATTTGCATTTTACCCCTACAGCCCATCTCAATTTGGACCAGACACATTTCAAGAGCTCAGCCAGCCACTTGCGTGGCTAGTGGCTGCTGTGTTGGACACGCAGGTCTAGAGCAGCTGTTACTTGGCAATGGTTTAGCATTTCTTTGGGTCCTGATGAATGATGCTGAAGTCATCACTCTTAAACTGCAGGTGTCTGCCTCACTCAAATGAAAACAGATAAACCCAAATTTTAGGTTTAAGTTTGCAGTTTGGCCTCATCTTTGCATCTTTAAATAAATGAGCATCATAGTTCTTTCCAGGGGTTTCTCCCAGCAGTTCACTCCCTTTCCTGGAGGCCAGGCAGTTCTGAGCTCCAAGCAATGACTACTGGGGAGTAGTCATCCCCACCCCTGCCACATCCCAAGCTGGGGTTGGACCGGGTCTGAGAGATCCTCTTCTGCCCTCCTGAGGTTCTGTCCTCCTTCGGAGCCTGCCAGATCTGGAAAGTTCCCCCTGGTCCCGAGGGCCTGGGTGCTGGGAAGGAAGCCTCTTGTCTGGTGGAAGGGCTGGGATTTCCATTCTCCCTTTTTGCTAAGTGTGGATAGGATTGGGAAGACAGGGGATTTGACTGCTGTAGGTCAAACTCTCATCCCAGAGTTTTTGTTGTGAATTTCTTAATTGAGTTTTTGGTTACATTTTTAACTCTTCAGTTTTCTTTTTTACACTATTAACATAAGAATGAAAGATAAAGGCTCTAAACAATAATAAAATACAAGGCAGATAATCCTTCTCCCCTCTTTTTAGCTGGGGGGAAGCTGGAGTCCCTAGTTTCTCTCCACTGGAGGAGGGCTGTTGTGAAGGCTGAGGAAGTGTTGGGCGGTAGGTGGGGAGGAAGAGTCCCGTTCCTAAAACACCATCCTCACCACTGGTAGAAAATGCTGCCACTCTCCATTGCCAGAAGGAAATGCAGCCAAATCCAAGATGTTGCAGCTGCTAGGGCCCAGGAGAAACACATTCCTTCAGGCTTAGCAGAGGCGGGTGGGAAGACTCACCGAAAAATGAGTTCTGGGCAGAGGGCTGGTTGCTAGACTTCCCTTAAAGATCCTGCCCCTTCCATCCTCTCTCCAAAAGCAGACCTGAATTTTACGTTTTAATTCCTTTCTTCATTGATCAGTTTGGAGAACTTATCAAGCTCTTTAGCTACTCATAGTAGCTAAATGCAGAAATGTAAAAATTAGATATATGAAAAGCCAGGAAAGGAGGAGAACCAGGGTCTGATACCATTTGGGCATCAGAAAGGAGCCTTCTACCCCCAAGGTCACATTCCCATGCCCTTCCTACACGACTCTAAGTCACACTTTACACAAAACATACACAAGTGTAAAGTATCAGGCAGTGCATGAGTGAGTGAAGTAGAAAATGAAAGCCTCCCAAACCCCCTTGCATGGGTTAAGCATTGTTGAGTTTGTGTTTAGCCTTCTAGTCTCTTGTTGGTGTCAGATATTCACACTCAGCTTTTCAGTTTTTACAAAAATAGCATCTTTAGAACTCACCCTTTTCACTTAATGTATCAGATATCCTCCCATGTCAGTGCATGACCATCTGCAATTTTTTTTTTTTATGAGATGGTCTCACTGTCACCCAAGCTGGAATGCAGTGGCATGATCATGGCTCACTGCAGTCTCAACCTCCTGAGTAGCTGGGACTATAGGCATGAGTCATCAGATCTGGCTAAGTTTTGTATGTTTTGTAGACAGAGTTTCACCACATTGCCCAGGCTGGTCTTGAATTTCTGAGCTCAAGTAATCCACACTCCTTAACCTCCTAAAGTGCTGAGATTACAGGCATGAGCCACTGCTCCCAGCCTTCCACCTGCGTTTAAAAAATATTTTTAAGCAGAACATTTCAGTAGCATGGGTAGGCCCTGATTAACCAGCCCCCTGGTTGTCTCCCTTTCTTTATTAGGCATCATCATAACCAATGCCAAAGTGAATCCAACTGTAAGTGACTGTCTTTAGGAACTTGTGCTTCTAGTACCTCTGTAAATTCCTAGTTGCTTAGTCAAAGGATATGTTCATTATTATTTGGCTAGATCCTACCCAAAATTAATTATGCTAATTTTAATAATTTAATAATTTAATATTAATAAATTAAACATGCTAACTTACATTCTACATTCATTGAGTCCTTTTTAGAGGAATTCCTTCTCTAAACCTTGGTTTCTCAATGTCCCAAAGAATTGTTCTAAAGCTTTTTTAACAGTCACTAGAAGCTGTCACCCTGACACAGTCCTCGGCACTGGGGGTGCATTGGGGAACCAAACCAAGTAAGGTCCTTGCCACTGTAGAACCCCATGTGCCCATGAGGGAACCTGATGGCTCCAGTACATAAGACAGTGACATACTGCTGAGTGCTGAGTGTGATACTAAGTGGAGTAACACTGTGCATGTGATGGGGACCTTGGAAGGGAGGCAGGGTAGTCAGGACAGCACTGATTAGTTTCCCTGCTGGGTCTTTTGGGAATTACAGTAAGGCAATGAGCTGACTGGACACAGGAAACCTCCCTGAACTGACTCTAAGTCAATTAGCTTGGGTTACCAAAGTAGAGAGTCCACAGAACCGGAATCTGCTTTGCCTGTGGAGAGCAGGTAGTCAAAAGTGCAGAGGTAATTTTATGGGAAATAAGCACCCTTACAATGAGGAGTATCATTTCTACTCCCTCTACCACCATTTGTTTTTGGCAAGGTAGGATAATGTTGGTCTCAATGAGTGGGGACCTGTCCAAGGTCGATAGCTCAATCTGTGAGTGGTTCAGGCATGCTTCAGACACGTGAAAAAGAAACAGATGGAGACTGAGACAGGGGTTTGTGGTCAGGCTGCACTCATTGTTGAGGCTCTGGTATGCCAGTAGAAGGAAGGAATTTCTAGATTAGCTGGAAGACTAGAAACAAATTCCTGTCTTGTTTCGTTGACAAATAAGATCTTTAAAAAGCCTTTATCATTGAAGAAATGGGCTTAAATCAGCATTTGAGTGCACTGGCATTCATTCGGGTGACAGCAGTGCCGTTGGGCTCTTGAGTATCTTTTCCTCTCCCTTGCCTTTAGGCTTTGCAAGCTGAATCTTCCTCTTCATTTCTGTCACCACTTCCCAGGTAGTGGGCACCTCTAGTATCATCTCAAACTACTCAGGGCATATTTTGTCTCTCCTTGATATAGAGAAAAGAAGTTGAAGGCCAGAGTTCAAGAGCTGGTGAGTGCCTTGGAGAGACTTACCAAGAGCAGTGAAATCCGACATCAGCAATCTGCAGAGTTCGTGAATGATCTAAAGCGGGCCAACAGGTAAAAATCTCCCTATACCCAGCGCCCCCTACCCTCCCCCTGCAGTACTTGCACTGACACCTGCCTGTAGACATAGCATCAGGGATGGACATTTCCCTAACTCCTGAGAACCAACTCTGGAGAGTAGGTGAGTCCCTAGGGGTCCAGCCGTCTTACAACAGCATCTCCCAAGATGTTCCATGGAAACTAGGAAATGCTCAGTATCAACATCCTTTGGCCAAACGTGGCATACTGTGGTGTACTTCTCCTGATATTATATATCTTAAAGGTTCCAAGAAGGCATACAATAAAATGTCTGTTTAAGCCAATATTTTCCAAACAAAATTGGCTATGGAATTGTTTTGAGCAATATAATATCCATTGGAATACTTTAGGAAATGCTGCTCTAAGAGTGGACTCAGGACTATAAAAAATGAAGGAACTTAAACAGCTTTTGTTAGAAACTAAAACCAAGATAAACTCAGTTTTTAATTCAGTTACAAAAAAAACCAAACACACTAGATGTAATACAAATGGCATTTTAATTAAACTATTTTCCCAGAAATTAAAGAGTGGCACTGATTCTGCAAATCTTTAATGTCTGGCTTAATAGAAGACAGCTGGGTTCTCACATTTGCTTCCACAGTCAACATTATGTGGATGTATATTGATAACACCTGGCATTATCTAGCTCTATAGTTGGAAATAAAAGCCCAAGACCTCACAGACCTCCTGAATGGGTTTTACAACTACCTGGGGGTGAGTCCTCAGACCACTTGGGAGAACTGCAGCTGTAGGGATAATGACTGTACATGGACTGGACTTACGTGGCCTTACTGTATACCCTCATCCACCAGACTCTGGTAGGGATAGTTCAAAGACCTCTCTATTCCATGTCTGGCTTTGCAGCACTGACTGGCTTATGGCCTAATTGAGTACTCCAAGTCCCCCCAGCCCAAAGCATAAAGGGAAGTGGGAACAAGAACAACTGCTCTGCTCTCATCCCAGGTACAGTCACTTTGAGTGTAGTGCCTCGGGAATACTCACACTTAACTATATTGCAAGCAACCATGGAGCAACAAAGAGACCCAGTCTTTGTTTTGGACATGGCTGATCTGCATTATTGGTTTGACTCTTAGAACCCCTTCTAATACGTGAGAGTACCAGCCTCTAGCAGCTGGGCTGCATTCATCTTGGTGAAGCCAGTAGGGTGGCTATGAGTGTCGATATTCTGGTGCTGCCCCTCCTCTGACCACTAGGTATCAGATTCTTACGGAAGAGGCTGATTTTTCTTCAGAGCAGTGCTCACTAAAGTTGGTTATCCAGTGGACAGGACAGTGTGTCCCAATGCTACTTAGGATGAATCTTCATCCTTATTTCCCTTCATTCCCACCTAGCAACCTGGTGGCTGCCTATGAGAAAGCAAAGAAGAAGCATCAAAACAAACTTAAGAAGTTGGAGTCTCAGATGATGGCCATGGTGGAGAGACATGAGACTCAAGTGAGGATGCTCAAGCAAAGAATAGCTCTGCTGGAGGAAGAAAACTCCAGGCCACACACCAATGAAACTTCACTGTAATCAGCGCTCAGGCACCGGAGTTCTGCCCATGAGAGCTAAACCACAGCAGGCCACTGAGGACAGAAAGTACTGGAGACAAAGTACTTGTTGGGAGGAGAAGGAAAGGGAAGGCTGGCAGGTAGGTTGGCACTTGGACAATGGAGTGCCCCAATTCAGCCTTTGGGGCAATTGGCCACGGTGACACTGTGGACTGTATCCAGAGGTGCCCGCTCTTCCTTCGCGGGCCCACGACAGCGTGTAAACACAAGGTCTGTGCCTGCTCAGCAGAACCTCGTTTCTGCTTTCAGCACTCACTCCCTCCTCTTCTGGTCTGGCGGCTATGCATCAGCGGGATCCCAAACATGTTTCTGTAAGATTTTCCATGCTATCCTCTTTCTGGTAGATGGTGGGCTTATCTTCTATCATCTCGTTTCTCCTCTTCCCTCCTGCTTCATGGGAAAACTGACACACAGACCTGTGTGTGCCTCCTGCATTTAAAAGGACTGCTGATTTGCCTACTGCAGCAAGGCTTTGGTTTTCAAGTCTCAGGACTCAACTTTAAGATAGAATCAGTCATAAGAGGCGTTCTCTGGGAGTTACAGGTCATGGGAAGAGGGTAGACAGGTGTTACTTACAGTCCCAGATACATTAAAGTTACAAATAGACCACCGTCAGGACTGTGCCTGAACAATTTTGTATTGAGAGAATAAAAATTTCCTTCAGCCTTCATTTTGGAAGCAGGGCTGGGAAGGGAGCACTCTCTTGATTCTGGGATTTCTCCCTCTCAGTGGAGCCTTATTAATATCCAAGACTTAGAGCTGAGAATCTTTTTGATGCCTGTAGTGGAACGAAAATTTTATCAGGGGTTTCTTCAAGAACAGAGAAGCATTATTAACACTTCCCACCCCAGGGCAATACATAATTGCTGTTCTGTTGAATCAAATCTCTTCCACATGAGTACTTTTGTAGCTCTGGAATCTACCTAAGGACAAGACACAGGGGATACTGAACATTGGGCAAAACTGATCACCCCTACTTAAGAGTGCTGCTTAACCCCTGCTTCAAGACTTAGCTCCTGCTGTCATGTCAGGGACAGGGTGAGGGAATGGTTGCTAAGGCTTCTTTTTTTGCCCCTAGATACATGATGATGGTTAGCATATGGTGCCTAAAAGATTAAATTTCAAGCAAAATGCTGAGAGGACTAGGCAGGACCAAAGTACCTGAATTCTTTCAGGAAGGTCTTCCATCTTAAATTCATTATTCTTTTTCTGCTGTAACCTTCAGTTTTACCCCTTCTCCTTCAGTTCTATACTGATACACTTAAAGGACCATTCCTGTTTTTTTTTTTTTTCTGTAGCACCAGAGAATCCATCCAAAGTTCTCTATGAAAAATGTGTTTGAATGCCACAGTTGACTACAAATTAAAGTTGATGAGGTTTTTGCAGTAGAATCTTTACGTCCATGAGCTATGGGTGGGTCAATTTTCAGAGCATGATACAAATTCTACGCCTTCTGTTCAATGGAGGATATCCAGCCACCAATCCGGAGGGCAGACAGTTCTATCCTAAAAGCAACCACTGAGAGACCAGAGTGAGACTGCCCATTTCCAAACGAAACAAAAAAAATCAACTGGTTATCAGTCTGGAAGGACCACCTTTGGGGTGCTCTGATTACTCTGAAAATGCCCACTGGTGTCTATCAATCATTTGGTCAAAGTTCCTGTGATTTTTTTTTTTTTTTTTTTTTGAGATGGATTCTCACTCTCATCACCCAGGCTGGAGTGCAGTGGTGCAAATGGTGTTATCTTGGCTCACTGCAACCTCCGCCTCCCAGGTTCAAGCAATTCTCCTGCCTCAGTCTCCTCAGTAGCTGGGATTACAGGTATTTGCCACCACACCTGGGTTATTTTAGTTTTTTTTTTCTTTAAGTAGAGACGGGGTTTAACCATGTTGGTCAGGCTAGTCTTAAATTCCCGACTGCAGGCAATCCACCCACCCTAGCCTCCCAAAGTGCTGGGATTACAGGCATGAGCCATTGTGCCCCGCCACTGTTATGATTTTTAAAAAATCAATTTTCACTTTTTGTATAAAGCTGCATTTTGTCATGAGGAAAATGTTTTGGCTGAAACACATATACCAAAAAAAAGAAATATATGAGTTTTCACCATTTTTCCAGCTTGCCTAAGGAAATGTTCTCCCCTGAGCAAATTGGGATGTGCATGGCTTTCTCTTTTGTGATTAAGCAGGCATCAAATGGACAATTTTCATTTTCACCAACGCAAGAATAAAATCCTGCCTACTGACTTCTGCCTCCATTCTTGCTCCAGGTAAAATCGGAGAACCTTCCCTTCTTGGCCCTGTAATTCCTCCAGGCAGAAAAGGCTTCAGCTCCTCTGTTAAGGGCCCCAGTGTTACGCATCCTACCTGATCTTAGTTTAATACTTTCAAATATGTGATGATTTGGGTAAAAACTATTTTGCAGGCAAAAGTGTTACTTTTACTTTTATAAATATGTATAATAAAAAAGCTATAAAAGTTTTTCCTTTCCTTGTATTTTTCAAATAATCCCCAAGACATTCCTTGTTGAAGGTGAACTAGCAGGCACTTCATTATACTAATTGTGGGAGCTACTGTATACTGATTAAATAAATACTTGCAGGTGCCTGGGTAATTTTCCTTTGTGTATAATCTGGCTCTACCTGAATTTTTCTCTAAATAAGAGCTGGTTTACATTAACATCTCCATTGGGGGTAAACAATGAACTTGAGTCTAACTTACATGAAGTTAAAAACCTTCAGATCTCATATTTTGAATTGTTTCCTCAGTGGTTACCCCCACTTTTAGTCAGTAACCATCTCTGTTCAGAGTTCAGTCTTTGACTTTTTAAAAGAAATGGGCACGGAGCAAAAGGACCCATTTCACAGTTCTCTTGGAGTGTATTTCCCATTGTGGGGCTGAGGCAAACAAAACCAACTGCACAAATCACAAGCAAAAGAGACTTCTGTTCATGGTTGGAGGGCCATCAGCGTGTGAGCTTACCAGCTACAAAACCTGTCATGGACTGAGAAGCAGTAAGATTCCTTTTTGAAACTTGCATCACTCTCATCTGCTGGCTTGTCAGCTTTCTGAAGTTGATATCCATGCTGCCTGAAACCGAAATGTTCATTTAAAAAATTAAGTACCAGTTAAACATAATTGCTTAATTCTCCTTTCAGATGCATGGACTAAGTCTTCTCTAAGCTTGCAGCAAATTATTAAAGGGATCTCGGAGAGTTCTAAGTCAGAGCCTTGACATTCTACTCCAAAAGGCAGTCCAAATTAGAGCACATAGGCTTTTTCCTTAAAACTGTTAGGGAGTAGTAAGAAATTTACCACTCTAAGGAAAACATGGAACTATATGAAAGTCTTCTAGTTCCTAACTGGATACAGATTATTTTAAATGAAAAAAAAAAAAAAAAAGCCCTATAGTTACCTATTGGACTGTCTGTCACTGGCATGAATTAAAGAACCTCCATAGCTGGTTGTTCCCGTCTAAGGTGTTCCTGCAGCCCACAAGAATTATCCAGCAATCACTTTTTAAGTCTATCAGTCAACCTTAAAGCTCTTAAGAGTTTGAATTATCAAGCTTTCAAATAAATTGATATCAAGATAATAAAAAAAAGTAATTTCTGGAAGTGTCCTTTCCTCCTTAAGGCTTTAAACCATTTGCAAATTCTTAATTGGGAGTATGTCCCATTCATTCTATTAAAACTATTTATAGCTCCACCTACTTCTAGATTCAGCAAACAGAACTATTAGTTAGAATATTTTTAGAGCCAGACAGTAAGAGACCTTTGTAATGGTTGAGATTTCTGCACTGACCTTGATTAGGGTGCAGTCATAAGACTGCCAAAGTTTTTAGCAGGGGATGGAGAGGTGGAACATAAGTAACTTTTTTTCTGCAGAAGGTGATGGCTTTGTAGAACACTATAAAAATTTTCAGAAAAACATTTAGCAGTTTTTCTTATCCAATGGGAACAGCCTATCTGACAAGGAATGATACAAGTTTGACTCACCTTTGAGCACTCTAGAGTTTATAGAAGAGGCGTAACTGGTTACAAAACAAAAATTATGCCTTCACTACCCAGTTCTTAAAGTTTATCTACATCCTACAAATCTTAAAAGTTTATGAACCTGTGGTCTTCAGAAGTATCTCCTGTTTCACACACCTGAAATTACTCTCTAAGCTAATACATTTGTATTCTCTAAGAAATAATGCTGACCATTGTCACCACAGCATCACTAATCTCTCAGTGGCTGTTAAAATATAAACAAGTGGAAAAGAGTACAAAAGTTGAATAGCAGCTGTTCATGTATTTTTGTTTTGCTAATACCGGTGTAGAGAGAGACAGTTTCACATGCAGGCCATTATACATTTTTGCTTAAGGGTTACACTGGGTAAATTCTCTGTCACTTTACATCTGGGTGAGATTTTGCACGTGACCATGACAAAAACATCATTCAGTCCCAGAAACAGCAACTACTATAAAAAACCACATCCTTAACTAGTACCGTCATCTTTCCATGGTCATTCATCTGCTAATCATATGAAATACCAGCTCAGCAAAACAAAGCAAGTTATATACAAAATTTCATGACCCCCTGCCAGTCACACTAATCCCCTACTTAGTAATTCTTGCTCTACCACTTTTGCACTTTTTGCAAATCAAATTCATGTGGAAAAATGTTCTGTTTGTAGAACTCATAGTATTCACTTATAGTGCTGTCAGGACCGCCAAGTGAATAAGAGCCCCTGATAATCTGCTTTAGTGGACATAAAACATGTCCACTTCTTTTCTAGTTCTAATCAGTTTTTAGACATCTTATCACGACTTACTTACTTTGCATGAGATTTGTTTCCTATTATTTGAAAATGTGCTATACACTTGAATTAGAAAAACCTGCTTGAATGTATTGTCAGTTATTAAAGCACATGCGACTAATTTGCATTTGTCAGTATTGTTCTGTTTGTACTGAAAAGTCTCATTTTAAAATTACTACTTAATACTGTACTATACCTTGTAATTTTTTAGATTCTTCACTTGTACTCTCTAAATGTTTCCAGATGCCTTTAGCTTTAGCTGCTTGTAAAATAGCTACTTTGCGTTATTTGATATAGAATTGTTTTTTTTAAACTCCATTTATTTATACAGAGACATTTATAATATTTTACAAACATTCTTATATTCTGAATAAATATTTCTAATTCCATGGTGTACCTTAACTGTGTTAAAGGGTAAGGCTAGCCTTCTGTAGAACTGTTTGCCATACAAGCATATCAAATCCATGATGCTTATGTGAAATCAAGAGCCCTAGTCAAAGCAGAGGCACTAGAAGAAAGACTTATTAAATCAAAATGGACAAAAAATCTCATTTATAGCCCATTTTTATTTGGCTTTTTCATATTTAGCATAACTAGGAAGTTACCTATTGAAGAGTCTTTCCCCCTCTTTAAAGATCATTAAAACAAGGAATGTAATCAAGGACTGGAAGTGCAAGGAAGTAATACATGACAACAAGATGGCAAGCAGCTTTGCAACATGTCTGTTACAGAAAGATTACAATGTTGTCAAGCTGTCACTAAGGAAGCAAAGTACCTCCGGCAGTAAGTATAACACCCTGGTCACTCCCCTTTTGAAAATTTTAAATAAAAATTACTGTCATAGAGCTGAGGTCTCTGATGGAAAAGAATGTATTTATTTCTTGATCCAATGTTAGGTATTCCTATTGCAAAACCTGATTCTAGCACAAACTTAGGAATTGCTGGATTTTAAATACCAAATTAATTCACATCTCAAGCCATACACGATAATCTTGCTTTAAAGCAACAAACTTGTTTGAGGTATTTTCATTTTTTCAGAGACTCTGTACTTTTTAATATTTCTTCCTGTATGTTACACAAACATACTTCTATTATGTTCATCTCATACTTGACATTTTTTATTGGTCCAAAGAGACAGCAACCACAATGAGCAACTCAGAACCTATGATAACAAGTAACAGTAGCAGAAACCAGACTAAGGTAGTAACTAAAACTGCCCAAGCAGCCAATTTTATTGATATTACATTACAGTCTAACAATGTTTTTTTACAGAAAGCCAATAAGTGAAGAACCTTCCATCATTCAAACTGTATTTTGTAAGATTAGTTTTCAACCTAGTATTATTTACATCAAAAAGTTTTCAAAAAGTTAGAGCATAACTGTTAAGACATAGGATTTTGTTCATTTTCTCAATGAAGAGTATAGAGTACAGCTGACATTCTAGTGGGTCTTTGGAAGTACAGTAATCCTGCAAACATTTAAACTCCAATTCACATACATGAATCACTGGAAACCCTTTGATAGTCATACCCAACAACAGTAAAGTCAGTCAGTCTTTATCCCTTCATTAACACTGAGGGAAAAAGACAAAGTTGCTGTCCAACTATACCACCATAAATCCGGAAACTCAATAAAACCTGTTCAAAATATTTCAGTTCTTATAACAAGGTGAACACAACAGGTGTTTTGGGGTTCCTTTTCTGCTGTCAGTAAATGTTTGACAGTTACCAAAAAAGCACCAAGGACTCTATACTACCATGAACAGAATCATTTGAAGTAGGTTTACTTATACAGTCTTTCTCCAAGCATTGAAATACCCTATAAGGTAAAATAATGAAACACTGCTATAATCTAGGCAAAAATTAAAGGTTAAATCATTTCGTGTATGACAAAAATAGTTACTAAAGAAATAGAGTTCACAAATCTACTTGGTTATCACATTTACTCTAAAGTCTTTTTTTTTTTTTTTTTTTTTCATTTTGAAACATTTCCTCAATTTTGTCTACCAGCAAAAGTAGGTCTCAAAATAATTTGCTTAATATGACTTAACATAAGTATCTTCACCTTTTTCCAACTAAAACTTACTCCCAAGCAAACTGTTTTAAGATTATGTAGACTATGTATCTTCCTTTAACATTACCTATTCTTTACAGCATAATGTAAAAAGCCACATCAAATCTTATTTTGGAAATAGGCACAGTATTAAAAAGTCAAGTCTTACCCCCTTTTCCATCTACACTAATCTGTATGCCCTATTTTGGTTAGACAAAAGACAATCTTAAGAGAATTTCACTTAAATTGCTACTATATGAACTATAATTCCATTTGATTGTTTTATTCTGAAATGAGATCATTTTAAATTTTATTTTATTCTGAAATAAGATCATTTTAAATTTGTATTAAAGCTAATAGATAAAGGTCTGAATTGTACACGGATCTAGAATGAGTCCAATACTTACCAAGGATGATTTTTTAAAAGCACTATAAGCTATTAAGCTAATAAAGCAAACTTCAAAACAATTATTTTAAAAAAATAGACATAAAGCAAAATAGTTACAGTTTTATTGTCCTTTCCTATTTTTGTTACTGAAGAAAAAGTTTCTATTATTTATAAAATGGAAGTCAGGTTAGCTGTCTCCTGTCCTAACTCTAAAGTGAAATATCAGCGAAAAACTTTAATACTCATTTCTTTGAACATGTGCATTTAACATTAAATGATTTCTTGTGCAACATCCTAACACAAACCTAAAATGAACCAAAGAGACAGCAGTGCCCTAGAACAGTAGTGAAATGCACAAAGAAACTCTAGCAGGTATGTCTTCTGTGCTTTTCTGTCAGTGCATATCATATGTATAGTGCATGAAGAATACAAGTCTACTGTTACTCATATGTTCCAAAAGCACTAACCCATCTATCTAATCAACCAACGGCTGAAAAATTATCTTTCAAAATTTCATTCACAGTTGAAAATCTTTACTTTCATTTGCTGCTATCCAGTCTATTCCTAAATATCACAAAAGCATGTCAATCTCTTAAAGCTCAAAAAATGACAATGCAGACTTGTGCCCAAAATGAAACTACAGATTTAGAACCTTAGATTCAATGAACTAAAAGGAGAAAAAATTAACATGTTAAATTTGATCTCAGAAATTCCACTATACTAAGAATGTTACCTAAGACCTCTCAGACTGCGGACCAGCAGAACACTGCCCATTTCACTCTAAAACCACACAGAAGTCTGTTCTTTGTTCCCAAGCCAATGTGAAAGCTACAAGCATTGAGACACAAAAGAGCACAGGTATCCACAGCCCTCCTATCTGTTTGGGACCCAAACATCAAAAGAGATCAGCTTCTCAGGAAGGAAAGATAAAAATCACTGCTTGCAAGTCTGGAAGGTTTATCATAGAGATGCAACATAAATTTAAAAAGATTATTCTACAGAAGGGACAAGTCATCAGGGAGAAAAAAAGGACTCAATGACTTTTTCCTGGCCAGTCACACCAAGAAAAGGGAGTAAGAAACAACAGGTCTTCAAATGGCACTGAACAAACAGTGGCCAATAATCCAAAAACCACCCAACCACTTGCAGAAAACCTTCCACCAAAAAGCAGAAAACACATATTCAGGTCCTCAGTCTCCTACCAGACTAAAAGACTGAAGTCTACTGAAGGCTAGAGTCCATGTGGGACAAGGTTACAAACACAGGCAACTGATTTTTGTATTCATTCTTCAGAGTATTCTTGACCAATACTACCCAACTAATGTGAAGCACCTTGTGAAGGCTCATTCCTTTTAGGTTGTGCCTTCAAGCTGCTAACATAGCGAGACCATACTCCTCTGCTAACCACAGAAGATCCAAGATACATGGAATGTTTTATTGGTGATTTCATTACTCTGATAACCCAGATTAAAGATTCCATTATGAATAGCTCTCAAAACCTCCATACTTCATCATAGTTTTTCTTTGCGCTTGTTTGTCCTCAGCTGGTGGAAGTCAACCCTTCAAGTCCACTCCCAAGCATGAGAGTTACTTGCACTCTTTTCCCAACTTACAGACTACTATTTCAATAATAAATGCTATTTGTCACAAGGAAGTGAGATGGAAAGGAAATTAATCACATTCAGGACAAACGTATACCTACACTGTGATGTGACTGACACCACAGCAGACTATGGCTGTGTGCTCTGGGTTGTCTTCCTGTAAGAAAGCAGTGCACTCCAGTTTGACTGGAGTTCTACGGTATTAGCACAGGAAGGACCAGACTCCTCAACATTGGTCTTTAAAATGAGAAAAATTACTTTAGATTCACTGGATTGCTTGGCAATCATACTTGAAAAAATTAACTTTATCCAGGGGTAGAAAACACTTGATAATGGCTATACATATATTTTTTTCATATATATATATATACACACATGAATGGCTACACTTAGGCCATGCAATGATCACATTTCTAGCCTGGAACATAATATAGCACTCAAGTATTGATAAATACTCTAAAATTTCTTTCTATTACACTCTTTGCCTAGCAACTATAGCTATTCTCCCTTCAGGACACTTTGATTCTATAATAATAATCTATCATGTTTTTCTGAAACTGCAATCCGGAATCCTACTTTGAAAACATGGAGCAAAGCCTGTACTACCTATTTGCAATCTGCCACCTTTCTGACACAGGAGTACAGACTTTAAGAGCAATTCAATTCTAAGAAGAAAAAAGATGCTGAGAAAGCCCATCATAATCTCATTTTTAGAATTTTTGGCAACTAGACAAATGCACTTTAAAGTCTTAGGACATAATACAAAGTGAGAAATTCTACCTTGACTTTACCAAGCTGTCAGGAGTAAGGTTTAACAAAATTGTTTCTACTAACATTTGTTTTTCCTTTTTTTTTGGTGGAGATGGTGTCTCGCACTGTCACCCAGGCTGGAGTGTGATGGTGTGATCCCGGCTCACTGCAACCTCTGCCTCCTGGGTTCAAGCAATTCTCCTGTCTCAGCCTCCCGAGTAGCTGGGACTACAGGTATGTACCACCATGCCCCACTAATTTTGTGTTTTTAGTAGAGACAGGGTTTCTTCATGTTGATCAGGCTGGTCTCGAACTCCCAACCTCAGATGATCCGCCTGCCTAGGCCTCCCAAAGTGCTGGGATTACAGGCATGAGGCACCACACCCAGCCTAACATTTGTTTTTCTAGAGACAGGTATGTAAAGGATACCTTCAAACAAACAAAAAAAAGTTTGTCTTGCTTATTAATCTAAAGTTAAAACAATACATATGAACCCCATCCCCCAGGCTAGAAAATAATCCAAATCAAAATTACTAGGAAGAAAAGTTAATGAATCTGATTTATTATAACTATGATTAACATACAAAAAAACACTGCCTTAGAAAATAGAAACACAATATATGCTAAAACAAAATCTCCAGGGAGCAGGGAGGTCCACTGGTACAAAAATAAAGATAAAAAGCCAAGAGTGGGTATTGTGGTAAAAGTAACTTGGTAAAATGTCTAATCGTTATAATTAACTTTGCTCTCCTTATTGTTTAACTGTTGGAGATGAAAAAAGAAAGGGCGAAAAGTAGGTCCATGAGAGAATAGGTAGTGAAATGTTTTTAATGCACACATGCACTCGGACTTTAACTTTTCTATAGGACAAAATATGGTGAATTTTATAGAAGAATCTAATTCCTATAGGAGGAGGCTGTATTCACTTAGATTTGAATTCCTTTTGACACTACATAAAATTACTAAAGCCTTCAAAAGGAAAAGTACTAACTCAATCACACTGCATAAAATTACTTTCATTATATGTCTTCATTAACCATACTAATTGATATTTGATAGAAAAATAAGGATATTCAAAGTTCAGAACAGCAAGTAGTGACCACAATTCCTATGACAGCATTGGGAAACTTTCCTTTATATATGAATACAAAAATCCAACTTAATTTTCCAACATCTTTAATCAAATTTCACCCACACTAAATGAGTTATATTAGGTGCTCAGACTTCTCCAAATGCTCATGTCTCAGGAGGGTATCACTATTTGAAATCCTAAACCATTCATTTGCTATTTCTTAACAAAATTTTTTGAAAAGCATGTAAACCACACCCTTCTTTTGGATTACAATGGTTAGGTATGAAAACAATTCATTTAGCATCTTATAAATCATTAAAGTTATACATAAAAGCACCTACAAGTTTTTTTTTTTTTTTAAATAAAAGATTCACAGTGCACTGCACCTTGGAACATATAAGGTTGGAACATAACATTCAAAAAGTGAATTCCAAGACCTGCATCTCTCTCAAAGACATAAAACATAATGAAGCCAAGTGACTACTCTTCTCATCTAGCTTCTTAAAATGCAGCACTCAGAAGTAAATTATTGCATATTCAGCATATTCCTTTATCACTTGATTTCCTCAAACCATACTAAAATTTCTCAAAGGAGAAATCTAGTTCACTAAGCATGGCCTTTCTCAAGGTAACCTGAACACTGCGAAACTAATACCCAGGTCTGAGGGAGTAAGTACAGCCGATGTACCTAGAACAGGTACATCCAACTTAAATATTTTCTGCATAGTTAAGTCACATCATATACATAAACTTTAACTCACATCTTTTAATATTTTTTTAACCTCAAACTTTGAGGAGAGCTAAAAGCCTACTGATCATAATCACATCCCAACAATACCCTTATATTTTGTTCCACAGTGCATTAAATAAAGCAGCGAGACAGCAATAACATTTACTACTGTAATCACAAGATAATTTGTTGGTTCTTGAAAAGGCTTAACACCATTAGAGGCCATACTTCTGGTAACTAACTCTAATCTCTTTTGCTTCAGTATTGAGAGCTGAAAAATCCAACTCTACAGGCACCAGAAAGACTGGCCAAAGTATGCACTTAAAAACGCACGCACACACACACATACACACAAAAACAAGCAGTAAAAGTTAAATGGTTTCCAGAAGACAGTAAATGAGTGAAAATTATTCATCTGCCAGGCAAACTACATTTTCACTCCTTTAACAATTTAACAGAAGTCTGGAATGCTGGGACCAACTATAAATATGGCTCAAAGAGACCCAAGCAAAGCAGCTGTATTTCTGAAAAGAACAGTAAAAGCTTTCAAACACAATCATATAATGCATTAAAAAGCAAAGGTCACAGGATTCAAAATTTTGTCACATTAAAAGATGGAGGATTCTGAATATCATTAATTCTATACACACTGCTGTAATTGTGAATTCTCCTGCTTAGCACCAAAAGGGTGACTCTTTCATTAATAAATAGAATTTCTCCTTTAAAATCAAGCCATTTAAAAGCTAAAGCAAAGTACTAACAAGTGAATTCCTTAAATAGCCCTTCTTTTAAAAGTCCCACGAGGTTCAGTGGAACCTGATTAAATAGGCTACCTACACAGAATAAAGATTTCTACAATAACATTTATAAGCAGAGAAGTATTTTGTGGATACCACTGTAAAAAAGGATTTTTAAAACCCACATGACAGATGCACACACACACATATACTCAAACACCCCCCCCCATTCCAAAGAAATTCCTTTAATGAGGTCAGATGCAGCCAAAACACTAAAGCCCCCTTAACACCCTGGTGATTGTCCTCAATTATAGCTGAAATCCTCTTTAAAATGGGCACTGCCATCCTTATTTGAAGTTAAAAATCCTGAAGCAAAATACATTCCTAGGAGTGAGTTATGTTTGTTACTGTTACATAACACATATATATATAACATGTAACCTAGTGAAATGCTTTATTTAGACTTGGGTAAACTGTATACCCCTTCCCTTCTCACTCCATCATCCAGGAGCTTAGCAGGCCAATAAAAGCATGTCAGTCTCTGCTATTATTGCAAATTGGAACCTAATATAACATCAGTTTCCAAAGATTAATACTGGAGATGCAATGTAAAACTTAGTAATGTCAGTTTTTCATACATATTTACACAACCGGAATATAGAAGAAATTCCCACAAGAACAAAGTCTGTAATACTAAAGGGTTGGAGGCAGGATGGTAAACACATGACCCAAAGTAGCTGCCGGGTCCCAGCCTCCATACTCTCTGCTACATTTTCTTCAGCAGTCTCACAGGCTTATTGACTGCATGCAAACAAGCTCAAAATCACAGCATCAACTCCCATCCACTCAATCCCCTCCAGGCTACGGACTTTGTCCTTACGAAGTGCTAAGAGTTCATTTTGGACATGCATATTATATTCCAGAAGCTGCTTTCAATAAATCCTTTCAACAAAACACCAGAGGAAGATTAGAGAGCCTCAGTGGTTAGAAGCAGAAGTACAAAATGCCACCAAAGTTTATCACCTGTAATCTTGACGAATGTGACATCTCAGCTCTTGCATTAATAATTGGGCATTATTTTATGTCTCTTTGAAATACTTCATTATTGCAATACTTCATTATTGCAATCACTGTAATACGTAGACGGAGCATTCCCATTAACTTGGCTATTTGACAGTAACTCAATACATTATTTTCTTAACCAGAATACAAAATAAAACCCACTGTCACACAGAATAAATGCCCTCAACAAAAGCAATTTAAACTTGCACTAAACACTGAAAAGGTATATCTGTATAAAAGGTTATAACTGCATTTACAGTGCAAACTCGTGTTTCTTTCTATTCTCTCTTATAAACAAAAAATGTCTTCAGAAACATTGCCTCCCTGCATTTCTTTAAAACACCTGAGAAAGGTAAGGCTTGAGGAGACACCTACTCAAATGCAACAGGTCTCTGGTCCTGCGACATTTACAATACATCTGCTCCTATCAAAGGTCCAAGATTTTCATTATAGCATTATGGTCAAACTTGAAACTCAAAAAAGTTCTGGATGAAAAGGGGACCTTGCAATGTCCATTACACGCCACAGGCTGTCCCTCAGCATGTTCTAGCAACTGGTCTTCACTGAAGCTAGGTAAGTCATATACAGCATCTGTTTAAAAAAACAAAATAAATAAGCTCAGTAACCTTAGTAAGAAATCAAATACTGTCCTTTGCCTTTTGTAACTAAAGCATTATATACGTTTGGGTATACGTTTATCTTCCCACACACTAAATTTAACTCTAAAGAGAACCACCAAGATATGTATTTTCCTTTCCCTAAACTGGTGCTCAACTACAGTTTCAATCTATTCCTATTTCCTCACATTCAAAATCTTAATCTCAGCCATTAAGACCCTAGATATTCCTTTGCTTTCAAAATGAGTAACTTTACCTCCTATGTTTTCTCATAGAAAAATAAAGTAACTTTACCTCCTATATGTTTTCTCATAGAAAAATAAAAATAAAAATCTTTACCAAGATTTCCAGGAATTTATCACCATAAAGAAAAATTCAAATTTTCAAAATAGTACAACAAAACTCCAATTTATCTGGGCTTCCCCCGCCCCCCGCCCCTTTTAAATAGATCAGGGACTTGACTAGAAAATAGGTTTGGAATGAACATCAAGAAGCTGGGACAGAAATAAAGTCTGAAATGAGGATGAGGCTTCCCAGGACACAAATTCTTTTATAGTTCTCAAGACAACTCGAAATTTTATATATCCATATAATGCCCAACTAAGACAGATATATTTTTGTCTCAGCCTTTTAAGTAGCTGGGACTACAGGTATGTGCCAGCATACCTGGCTAATTTTTTATTTTTGTAGAGACAGAGTCTTGCTATGTTGCCCAGGCTGGCATGGTGTACCTTTTTTAATGTCTCTCAACTTAGGGCTTTTAAAAGATTCTGTGAAATAACTAATTTCTGAATATATGTTAATTAAATTTTGCTATCAGCCTATCATGTCCCCACCACCCAAAACGGCCAGAAAAAATCCTATTGAGAGGATTTATACCCCCATTAACTTCTCTATACTAAACTCCAATGAGGAGAAATAATAGACTTTTCAATAAATGGTGCTAGGAAAACTGGATATCCACATATAAGGAAATGAATCCTTATCATATACGAGACATAAAAATGAACTCGAAATAGATGAAAGACTTAAAACGCAAAACCTGAAAATGTAGCATTCCTAGAAGAAAACCGGGAAAAAAGCTCTCTGATGCTGATCTTCACAATGATTTTTTTTTTGATAGGACACCAAAAGCACAGTTAACAAAAACAAAATAAACAAGTAGGACTATATCAAACTAAATTCTAATGAGAGTTCCTTTCTTCACAGTTAACAGTAACTTTCCATAATAGGGTTAAGGCATCTCTTTTAAAATAGCATTATCTTGCTTAAATCACAGATAGTATTACAGAAAAAGAATATGATAATGCTTTTCATTTCTTAGACTTTTCTACATGAAAGCCTTAAATTTAGATGGTGAATAAATGGGAATTTCATACAATTCAAAATAGCACCTAAGAGAAAATAGTCTACTGCACTTCTAAGTAGGATGTACTAAATCAGTATTTAACAAAGAACTTTCTACATTCATCAGATTACTTTGCAAATCAGATAACACATCTACTTTTCATAACTGAGGAAGGACAAATTGCAAGCATTTTTAATAAAACCTATACTTAGTATCACCTTAAAAAGTTGAACATTACCTCCAAAAAGAGTGAAAATTTCTTTTAATTGGAAAAAAGGCATATAAATTTACTAACGTGTATATGGGAAGAACAAGAGTACCCCAAAAATGTTCACTTTCTAAAGTCAGTGCACCCCTTATACAGATGTGAGAATGAGATTGCTAGCCTTTACAATACTGGATTCTTTTTACCCTCCCCCCAAATCCCTATGCAATTATTTACTTATTTAAAATATTCATGCACAGCACTAAGGCTTAACATTCATAAAACAAATAGCAGAGTGTGAAGGCAAGTAACTTTATCATCTAAATGAATTTGTTTCAGCCCATTTCTTATTTAGAGAACTTTATGAACTCTTTCTACAGAACATATGCAATTCTTCCTGCTTAACTATCATATATCGCATACGCCCACTAAAATCAAAGTTAGGTAAACCAAAGCAAATCCCACAAGGCAGAGATTTTTATAAAAAGATAGGAAATGACTTGCCTGTTTCAAAATTATCCTGAAGTTTCCGTGGATGAAGTTTCTTTTCACACTTCTATTCAGAAAAAACACACACATACACACAACATAGTTACCAGTTATTTCACTTATTAAAAATCAAAAGATACATTATCAAATTTATCAGGAGAAAATTGAACCAGGAATATAATCACCAGCCCATTCTCTCACCAGTATTTTTGTATTTTGTATTTACTCTTTACACCTAAATTTTTTTTTTTAGGTCTGGATTACATACATATATATTACAAAGAATTTTTAAAAAAATAGACAAGTAGTGGTTAGGTGTGGTGGTTCATACCTATAATTCCAGCACTTTGAGAGACCAAAGCAAGAAGATCTTGAGGCCAGGAGTTTGAGACCAGTCTGGCAAACACATTTTATTTGTATTTCTAAAACATAAAAATCATCCAGAGCTAATTAATTTAGCTGAGGTGGCCAGGCATAGTAGCTCACAGCCATAATCCCAGCACTTTGGGAGGCCAAACCATGAGGATCACTTGAGCCTAGGAGTTCAAGACCAGTCTGGACAACATGGGAAAGCCCATTTCTACTAAAAATAATAATAATAATAATAACAACAACAACACAAGAATTAGTCAGGCATGGTGACACACACCTATAGGCCCACCCAGCTACTCTGGAGCTGAGGTGGGAGGACCGCTTGAACCAAGGAGGGCTGAGGCTGCAGTGAGCCAAGATTGTAACACTGCATTTTAGCCTGGATGACAGAGCAAAACCCTGTCTCAAAAAAAAAAAAAAAACAAATTAGCTGAGGCAGGAAGATGGCTTGAGCTCAGGAGTTCAAGGCTACAATAAGCAATAAATGTGCCACTGTATAGACGACAGAGTGAGGCCCTGTCTCAAAAAAAAAAATTATTCATGACATTCTCAACTCAGTTAAACACTATTACATCTTTCTAGCTTCTTGACATTGAAGATGTGTGTTAAAATCTTTTCATACAACTGTACTAACTTTAAATGGAAGTATATGATACATACTAGTGTCCGATAATCTTTTAAAAAGAACATATTGTGAATAAATTTTTCAACAAAATGCACATCACTTTTAGCAACTTCATGGTAATCCACTGCACAGATCTATGATACTACATTTAATATCATCTTGGATATTCAGATTATTTCCATGTTTTCATTATTACAAAGAGGGTGAACATTGTTTAAATTCCTCTTCTAGGGAAAAAGTGAGCACTGTTTTAGGGTTTTGATACAGCAAAACTCCTCTCCAGGATGTACAAATTAGTAATTTTTATGCGTTACCAATATACTCAATACACAACTGGGTTATTACCAATGTCTTCATCTTTGCCAATCTGATGGGAAAAACGGTATCCCATTTCAATTTACATTCTTTCACTACACATAAAATTTAATACTCATATGTTTATCAGTCTCTTTTATTTCTTCTCTCAAAAACTGCTCATGTACTTGCCCTCCATCATTAACTTTCTTAAACAACTTTTTAAAATCTATTCAAGTTCTTCAAGACAAATCTGAGAGTAATTTATGAAGTTCTCCCAAAAAAAATCTGTAAGAAATTTTTACTGGTATCATGTTGCATTTATACATTAATTTGAGGACAATTAACACTTGTACAATATTATCAGTAAGTTATCTGCCTAGTTTCTGTTAGAAACAGCTATTGAATTTTATTAAAAGCCTTTTAATCATCTAAGATTGTTTTCTCTGTTCTTGTTACCACTTTTATCAGAGATAAGAGAAATGATAGTACTTTGGAAGGCCAAGGCGGGTGGATCACGAGGTCAAGAGATCGAGACCATCCTGGTCAACATGGTGAAACCCCGTCTCTACTAAAAATACAAAAAATTAGCTGAGCACAGTGGCGCGTGCCTGTAATCCCAGCTACTCAGGAGGCTGAGACAGGAGAATTGCCTGAACCCAGGAGGCGGAGGTTGCAGTGAACAGAGATCGCACCATTGCACTCCAGCCTGGGTAACAAGAGCGAAACTCCGTCTCAAAAAAAAAAGAAATGATAGTAAAGCAGTGAAATGAGTCATTAGAACGCAAATTAAGAAACACCCAGGAAACTCAAAATATTTTTGCTAAAAATTTGAAATTACTATTATTACTCACTGATAAATGAAAAGCAGGAGAAGCTACAATAAGAAAATCCAATATACAAAAACAGGACTTACAGAAAAGTAACACAGGAGACCGTTAGTTATGAAGTAACTTTTGGAGGACTGACTAAACAAAAGAATGAAAGAAAATGCTTTAAATTATTCAGATATTTATCTTTAGGCCTAATCTAATGACAACAGTACTGGCTGTGGGTGCTTTTTTTTTTTTCCCCCAATTTTCTAAACTGTATCAACTTGAAGAAAAAAAATACATACTTGAAGTTCCCCAAACTTTTACCTTCACTGAAATAATACAGAGTATTTAGAAAAACAGAACAATAGCCAAATAACTGCTCTAGAGAACAAGTTTGACTACACATTGGTATTAAAATAAATGTAAATAGCCACATAAAAACATCAGATGTGCAGTTGAATCAACATTACAAATTTGTAATAAGAGGAGCCAAAGAGATTTTTAGTGTGTGAATTGTGCACAACTCAGCTACATAAAAATCCTATCAGTATATCAATTAAAATAAGAAGAAAGCAAGTAACATTCCTGTGCCTTGGCAATGCCCTTATTTCACTCTTCAGAGGATGAATTGCCTACTTAGTGTGAGAACTGTAACTCTTACCATCAAAGAATTCTGCTTCGCTGGCTGAAGCCCATTTGTTCTTTTCTTTTGATTTGGTGAATCTTGATACTGTTTTCTGCCATTTCCCCTCATACTCTGATTCTGTTTTTCCAATAAGAAATAAAATATGAATCTATAGTATAATGTAATGGCACAAAAAAATACCCATGAATTATATTTAGCTGGATGAATTAAGTTTTTTTAGCAAAGCTTCTCCTACCCAAAATTTTCATGAATCGCCCTATCAACGTATTTTCTTATAAAAGTCAGTGCTTCCCAAACCAAGAGTTCTATAAAGGTATGAAAAGCAAATACAATTGCCCCTAGAAATCTTTCCATACCTCTTACCTTATCCCATATCTGCTTATAGATCTTGTTTCTAATGCATAAATGGAACCTCTCTGTAAAGGAATGCTGAGGGGACATTGGCCACAGTTCCTAAAGCAGGAAATGGGTAGATGTATGTACTCAATTGTTACCCAAGAAATCAGCTTTAAATTATTAATAAGCACTATTAAGTAAATAATCACTTTTTATAAAATAATAATAAAGATTAATTTTTTTTGAGATGGAGTCTCACTCTGTTGCCCAGGTTACAGCACAGTGCCTGGTTAACTGCCATCTCTGTCTCCCAGGTTCAAGTGATTCTCCGGCCTCAGTCTCCTGAGTAGCTGGGATTACAGGCACATGCCACCACGTCCAGGTAATTTTTGTATTTAATAGAGATGGGGTTTCACCATGTTGGCCAGGCTGGTCTCAAACTCCTGACCTCAAGTGATCCGCCCACCTCGGCCTCCCAAAGTGTTGGGATTATAGGCCTGAGCCACCATGCCCAGCCAAGACTGATGTTTTTAAAATTTGGACTGTTATTCCTAGTTAGACATGTAGTAGTTTAAATCTTGCTGTTAAACTGCTTTAAAATGAGTTAATTTTCCCACCAACAAATTCTTAAGTTTAAATTAAAATGAACATTTTAAACATTAATTTCTCCTTTGGGGCCTTAAAACGACAGCTATTTGAGGACTACTAAAACGGTATAAATAGGAAGAACTTCTAAATATATACATATAAATAAATAAATAAGAATATTTATATTCCTACCTACAAAAAAAAAAAAAAAAAAATCAACCAGTTGCTAACACTGCTGGAAAACAAAAACCTAAGTAAGCGATGTGAGGGAAATATGGCTTTGAGTGACTCATGTTACTCCACACTTTTCATTTACTTTCATTCCACTCTTCCCAGTATGCTTTTTTTTTTTAAGTTGTGGTACAATATACATACAATTTGCCACATCAGCCATTTGTGAGTGTATAATTCAGAGGCATTAAGTATACAGTCAGCACTACCTGCTTCCCTAACTTTTTTTTAATCATGCAAACAGAAACTTCGTAACCAATAAACAATAGCTCCCTATTCTTCCCTCCCTCTTGCCTTGGTAATCTCTGACTTAGTATCTCTATGAATACGCCCATTTAGGAATGGAATAACATTAACACAATATTTATCCTTTTGTGTCTGGCTTATTTTCACTTAAAATTTCCTCAAGGTTCACCCATATTGTATGTAGCATGTTTCAGAATTTTCTTTTTTTTGAGACACGATCTCACTCCCATTGCCCAGGCTGGAGTGCAGTGGCGCTATCACAGCTATGGAAATTTCCCAGGCTCAGGTGAGTCTCCCATCTCAGCCTCCCAAGTAGCTGGAACTATAGGAACTACAGCCATGTCTGGCTAATTTTTTATATTTTTAGTAGTACAGACAGGGTATTGCCAGGCTGCCCAGGCGGGTCTCCAACTACTGGTCTCAAGTAATCTGCCTGCCTTGGCCTCCTAAAGAGTTGGGATTACAGGCATGAGCCACTGAGCCTGGGCAGAATTTCGTTTCTTAATCTCACTTCTTTAAGGCTGAATCATATTTCATTATGTGTATTCACCACATTGTTTATCCATTCATCTATTGACAGGCATAGGGGTTGTTTCCACCTTTTGGTTATTGGAATAATGCTGCTATAAACACTGGTTACTAATTAACTGTTTAAGTTCCTGCTTTCAATTCTTTTGGGTATATACCTAGGAATGGAATTGCTGAGTCATACGGTAACTCTATTTTAACTGTATGAGAAATTGCCAAACTGTTTTCCACAGCAGCTGCACCGTTTTTACACTCCCACCAGCTATGCACAAGGGCTCCAATTTCTCCACATCATCACCAACACTTGTTTTCTATTTTATTTTTCTTTTTATTATGGCCATCCTAATGGGTAAGAAGTGGTATCTCACTGTTGAGATACCACTAATTATTAATAATGTTCCCTAATGATTAATAATGTTGAGCATCTTTTGTGTACTTACTGGCCATTTGCATATCTTCTTTGGAGAACTGTCTATTCAAGTCATTTGTCCAGTTTTAAATTAGGTTGTTTTGTTGTCGAGTTCTAAGAATTCTTTACATATTCTGGATATTAACCCCTTATCATATATATAATTTGCCAATATTTTCTCCCATTTTGTGGACTGTCTTTTCACTGTTTTGATAATGTCCTCTGAAGCACAAAAGTTTAATTTTAACAAGCCCAGTATATTTTTAAAATTAAAAAAAAAACAAGAGTAACATTGAAACCTGAAATTAAAAACAGATAATACCAAATATTAGTAAGGATGTGGAACTATTAGAACTCTCAAGTATCTTGCTGAGGATATAAATAACTTGAGAAAATTGGCAAATAGGTAACACAGGCACATCCAGTGATCCAACAATTCTACTTTTCTTTCCTTTTAGTTACATAGAATTGTGTATATTCATCAAAAGACATGTATAAAAAATGTTCATAGCAGCACTGGAAACAACCAAAACATGCATTAACAGTGGTATAAATAAATCGTGGTGCTTAGAACATGTGGAAAAAGGAAAACAAATATTAATAGCAGTGTAATTATACACTAGAATACAACGATGAAAATGGAAGTTCACAATACGCTGTTACTTCTTCCTGAACAAAAGCCAAAAGATCCCACTTATCTTAATTTGGAAAATATTTTCCTTATGACTTGTTTTTAAATGAATCTTTCATTGGCAGCTTTTACACGAAAGTCAGATGTTAACTCCTATTATCCACTGCACTGGATTTACACCAGAAGTGTAAACGTTAAGTCTCAGCCCTGCTTCAAATCACAAGTAAGGAACATAGAGACTTTGATCAGTAACTCAGAGCTCTCTGTAATTATAAAGATGTAATTCCTCAATTCAGAATGATTTCAAAGCCAAATGATCTAAATTTCTGAAAAGATTGTAATTGTGTATCACTCACCTTTCCTTTTAAAAGGTCAGACATTTCAGAATGATTATTATATGGCTTTTGCTGCAGTGGTTGCCTGTGCTTTACCCACTGGTCACCAGGAGAACCATCAGGAAATAACTGCTGACTGTGGCGGAATTTGGTTCGACTATACCAAGATTTAAAAAATAATCAGATCAGAAAATGTTCACTTACAGTTCTTTTAACATCTTAATAATTTACAGACTACATATTTTCTTATTGTCTACCTCCCCCACTGGAATATAAGTTATACAAGGGCAAAGATTTTAATCTCTTTGTCTACTGCTTTATCCCCATCACCCAGATAAGTGCCTGGTATTCAGTAAATATTTCTTGAATGAATTAATAAGCCATTATTATTTTTCATCCTAGACTTTAAAAAATTATCCAGACCATCTTTTCCCTATAAGTGATTATAGTATACTCTTTAAAAATATGGAGAATGTAAATGAATATACATTTTGCTTCTTTTTGAGACTTGGTTTCCCTCTGTCATCCAGGCTGGATGGAGTGCAACAGCAGGATCACAGCTCAAGGTGGCCTCAACCTCTAAGGTTAAAGCCATTCTCTCACCTCAGCCTCCCAAGTAGCTGAGACTACAGGCACACACCACCATGCCCTGCTAATTTTTTGACCCTGCACAAGTCTAGTTACAGATCACATCCTAGCTGGAAGGGGATCTGAGAAAGTAAGCTACCCTCTAAAGTAAAAAAATAAAGGGACAAGATAATGAATGAGCAAATTAAGTGAAGAGCCAGTCTTGAATTCTTCTGCAAAAGAATCTAATTTTAAAATGTTGTACTCATGTAGGTCAGGCATGGTAGCTCACCTATAATCCCAGTACTTTGGGAGGCTGAGGGGAGGGTAGATCACTTGAGGCCAGGTGTTTGAGACCAGTCTGACCAACATGGTGAAACCCCATGTCTACTAAAAATACAAAAAGTAGCTGGGTGTGATGGCATGCACCTGTAGTCCCAGCTACTTGGGAGGCTGAGGCTGAGGCTGAGGCAGGAGGACTGCTTGAACCCGGGAGGTAGAGGTTGCACTGAACCAAGATCGCACCACTGCACTCCAACCTGGGTAACAGAGAGACTCCATCTCAGGAAAAAAAAAACAAACAAGGTTGTACTTATGCAGTAGTTAATAAGGTAAGATAGTACCATTTACATGTATAACATAGTCCAGAGTCAATGATCCCAAGAATCATGTCATAGTAAGATTGTTTCAGACTACTTCAGTTCAGTGATTCCTCTTTCATGTTTAAAAATCATAATAAAATTTCAGTCAATCCTCTTTTAACGAAATTTAGACATTTCCTCCAATACATCATCACAGACATTAGTCTGTATTTTAAAAATACATACTACTCTCCATTAAAAAACCTGAAATATGATTAGAAGTTGCTTTATCATTTCCCTACCCACTCCCCAAGACCACAAACTCTAGACTAAAAGATAGGGGAATCATATCACACACTATATTAAATAGATTCTTCCAAACATGAGCATACATAGTCTCTTTTCAAACACTGTCACTATTTAATAACTTTTCTAGCTTCTTTTAAATCATGACTGCAATTCCTGCCTACTTTTTCTCTACTGTTCCATCTTTAAACAATATTATGTATTTTTGTGACTATAACCATATATTCTATAAGACACCAAGGCATTTAGTCCAAGCTCCTATCCTCACAATACCCATCTAAAACAGAATGCTACCTATTAAAGAAATACTGACTATAGAGGTGATTTACTCCTATTTAATTTCTGAAGCTCTGTGATAAAAACAAACCCAAATTACAGAAAATGTAAAAATCAACTCTCTCTGAATCTAACATAGGCAACTTTCTAACAATGTGATTATGCTTAACATATATGTATGTATGCTTAAAAATACAGGCTTATTTATCAAAGTTACTTCCCCAGCCTACTCTGTAACTGTGACTGGGATGCAATTAAGTTGTAAGTCAGAGGCTGGGCATGATGGCTCATACCTATAATCTCAAAACTTTGGGAAGATGAGGTAGGAGAATCACTGAAGCCCAGGAGTTCAAAAACAGCTGGGCAAATAGGGAGAGCCACATCTCTACAAAAAATAAAAAATAAAAAAAAATTAGCCAGGCTTAGTGGCATGTGCCTGTGTTCCCAGCTACTCAGGAGACTTAGGTGGGAGGATTACTTGAGTCTGGAAGGTCAAGGCTATGGTGAGCTATGATCATACCACCATTGTACTCCAGCCTGGGCAACAAAGCAAGACTCTGCTTCTAAAACAAAAACAAAAAGTTCTAAGCAAGAAAATGTTCTTCATGGTTCATGTCCATGTAGTAGTCACTCTTAATAATACATAGTCTCTGATATTTGGAAGTTTTTTTTTTTAAAGCCCAAGTCTTCACTGTTCTATCTCCAATTTAACAAGCTATATTAGCACCCTTTCTCTCCCTAGAAGAAAACAAATCTCAATATACCCTCTATCCAAACAGCTTCAGAAAACTGAATTATCTTAAAAGTAGGATATGAAAACAGAGAAGTAACACTAAGAACACATGACACAAGATTTTTTCTTCTTTTCCTAGTGTTCTATCTATCCATCTAAGAAGCTGGTATCCTCTTGAGTATACTCTTTTAAAATGTGCCTGAAGCTCTTTCCAACTCCAATTAACCTTTTTCATCCCAAAAAAAACCCTTTAAAAAATCTTCTATTATCTGTGAGAACAATAACAAGAGTATCTATAAAAAGAAATCTTAAGCCCTTTGCAAACTTTAGAAGCAAAATACTATTATTCTACTTTTAAAAACTATCAGAAAATCAGGATTCCATGAATATATTTTTTTACCTCAATTTTTCCACAGTGGGTTTAGCTGGTGTGCTACCAGTTGATGAAAATCCATTGTCACTGTCTGAGGAATCACCAAATCTTCGAGAAAGCCAGTCCCTTAATGGTCTGCAGAAATGTAAGAATTCACTTTCAAAATATGGCTAAGACAGAAGAGGACTATCAGAATCATGAAAGTCAATTTTGTATTTCAAGAAATATAAACATACCTAATAAAGGGAATGGCCATAAAAAATTTGTTAGGTGCCAAACCAAGTTTAGATTTGGGGGTCATATCATTTCTATGACAAGGCAATTTCTCAATGGAGAACCACTCAATATTCTGAAACACAGAAGAAAATAATTTAGTTAGTTCTTATCAAGGAGATTATAAATGGAATTCCCTACTTATTCATTTGGGATATTGTCCAGTAACCTGAAAATATTCTTGTTACATACCCGAATTTCTCTTCTAGTTTTTGGGTTAAATTTTGTATCTTTTGGAATTCCTGGAATGATGTACAAACGAGCAAGCTGGTCATTAATTCGAAGTTCAATGTAATCATCCTTACAAATATAGTCTTTGATATCAAAACCAGTTTCTTCAAACACCTGGAAATAACACATTTGGATGAAATTTTCATTTTAGCTGTAGGTCTCCAATTCATTAAAATTTATTCCAAAAACAAAAACTCAGAAAAGTGGGACATTATTTGCATTTACTATTTCTAGAAATGACAGACTAGTACAGAAGTGTATACAAGATTTTAAGAAAAGTTTTTCTGTCAGATATTGTTTTAATACTGTATCCACAGGTGGTATTATAGGTACATACAGAACCAGTCCACTGTACACCTGATCACTGTCATTCAAACACACCACAACCATACATATTTCCCAGAATAAAATTCTGAAGGCTAGTGATAGAGTTTTCAAAATTTCCCATTCTCCAAAACTTAACATTTATATACAGAAGATAAGGTAATTAAACCATCAATCATGTGGAATTGACTTATACATGGTGTCTGAGCATTCCCATCACAGTAAAAGCCCAGATGCTTTTCCTTTTCTTCAAAACTAAGGTCTAATCTACTGTTTGAGACAGAGCTTAACATTTTTGGTTAATAAATCAATCTTGATGGATTAGATTTGTAATTTTAACAATTAAGACTGGTTTACTTAAAAGTTTACCAGTATGTGCAACTGTCTTCAGACACTATTAAGAGGGTCAAAAGATAAACCAGAAGAGACAATACATTCAATATTCAGAATATATTAAAAACTGAGGGGTGTGTGTGTGTGTGTGTGTGTGTGTGTGTAAGACAAGTAACTGGACTTCAAAAAATGGGACTGGGTGCAGTGGTTCACACCTGCAATCTCAGCACTATGGGAGGCCAAAAGGGAGGAGAATCACTTGAGCCCAGGTGTTTGAGACCAGCCTAAGCAATATAGTAAGACTCCATCTATACAAAAAATAAAAATAAAAATTAGCTTGGCATGGTGGTGCACACCTGTTTTTTTCTTTTTGAGATGGAGTTTTGCTCTTGTTGCCCAGGCTGGAGTGCAATGGAAGGGTCTGTCAGCTCAGTGCGGCCTCCACCTCTTAGGTTCAATTTCAAGCAATTATCCTGCCTCAGCCTTCTGAATAGCTGGGATTATAGGCACCCATCACCATGCCTGGCTAATTTTTTATTAGTAGTAGAGACAGGGTTTCACCATTAGTAGAGACAGAGATCACAGGTGATCCACACCTATTTGTCTAGTTACTCAGTAGGCTGGGGTGAGAGGATCGCTTGATCCCAGGAGTTCCAGGCTACAGAGAGCCATGATCACTGCCCCACTGCTCTCTGGTCTAGGTGACAGAGCAAGACCCTGTCTAAAAAAAAAAAAAAAAAAAAAAAACAGAAAAAGGTTTAAAAAGTAATTTTTATATAGTTCTCATTTCTAGTTTTATATTCTCTTTAGCTCCATTCTTTGAATAATGCCTCAAAAATCAGAAGTATACATAGCTAGTCATGTGAATCTGCATAATTAGAAATTATGCTAAAAGTAAATCGTATAATCTAAATTCCTCGTGGGCAGAGGCTGTTATCTTTGTGTTACAAATAGTATCCAACTAAATATATGCTTAATAAAAAAAAGTACTGAAGAAAAAGCGAGGAACAGTTTCAGATTAAAGGAGACTGAAGAGACCTATCAATTAAATGCAAATGCAACAAATGAGCCTGGATTGGATCCTGGATAGACAAGCGGGTGGCAACTGCTGAAAGAATCATAATGCGCGATTAGCGAATGTGAATATAAACTGTCCATTAGATAACAAACAGCACCTTATCAATGTTACATTCCTGATTTGAGAATTTCACTGTCATTACCCTAAAAAGATTCCTCGTTCTTAAAACATACATGCAAAAGCAATTAAGGACAAAGGGGCATTACGTCTCCAATTTATTCTTAAAGAATTCAGCAATAATAAAAAACTCTACACACACATTTATCAAAAGTAATATAGCAAATATGGTGAAACATTAACTAAATTCTATTCTATGAATTAATCTATGCTTCTCTACATATGACATTATCTCATCCTTAATGTAATTTTTATGGGGTCACATTTAACTAGAATGTTTAGTTTTCTTGTTTTGCTTTGTTTTATTTTGAGGTGGAGTGTTGCTCTGTCACCCAGGTTGAAGTGCAATGGTGCGATCTCAGCTCACTGCAACCTCTGCCTCCTGGGTTCAAGCAGTTCTCTGCCTTAGACTCCCGAGTAGCTTGGATTACAGACACCTGCCACCACACCAGGCTAATTTTTGCATTTTTAGTAGTGACAGGATTTCACCATCTTGACCAGGCTGGTCTTGAACTCCAGACCTCATGATCAACCCACCTTGGCCTCCCAAAGTGCTGGGATTATAGGCGTGAGCCACCACCCCCAGCCATGTTTAGTTCTTTTTGGTGATTTCACTCAATTGTGCAATTTGTGCTTAATAAGTGACAGGCGTCTGGGCATGGTGTCTGTACTAAAAATGCAAAACTTAGCCAGATGCCTATAGTCCCTGCTGAGGCTGAGGCAGGAGAATTGCTGAAACCCAGGAGGCGGAGGCTGCAGTGACCCAAGATTGCGCCACTGCACTCTAGCCTGGGTGACAGAGCAAGACTCCGTCTCAAAAAATAGTAAGTTACAGCCATCGTCCTAGGCAGTGAATCTAGTAATGAATAAAGCAAGCAGTGCCCTTTAGGGAGTTTTCAGTCTACAACAGAAAAAAAAAAATATAAGCATTATGAGTAGAAGGAGGGTGCCTAACTCAGCCTTTAGTATACATGTTTGAGAGTTGGGGAATGGTCACTTTTGGTTATGGACAGCATCTCATCCACTGGATACACATGAGCTAGGACTTAAAAGATAAATAAGAGTTTGCCAAACCAACAAGGAGAAAAAAGTCCTTCTGTTTAGATAGCTGGGAATGGCTATAACTTAAGAATTACCTGGGAGGGTTTAGTATAATATGAGGCAAAAAAGCAGAAGCCACCAGCACTAGAAGAGGTAGATTCAAACTGTCCAATCAGTTCTTAAAGTGGTAAGACAGATTTGCCTCTAAAATTACTCAAGTATTCTCATCAAATATTTGCAGGAAAAAGTTTAAATAGCTGAAATATATGAACAGATTCCAAAGACAAAAATTTTCTTACTACATCTCCAGTGAAGTGAATCAAATCTATTCCTGTATTATAATACATTGTTTAATTTTCCTGGCACAAGGAATACGATCAACTTCTCACATGTTATCAGATAAAAATCCACATGTAAAAATTTTTTTAAAGTGTTACCCAAAGAGCAGCAGTGTACAAAGACAACAAAATCCTGTCTATAATCTTCATCCTATAAACCTATAGGAAGAGGCAGAATAAACTGACCAACAAATGCTTTGTATAAATTATATTAAATTATATAAGTGCATATTAAAGTCAGTTCCATTACAATAAAACATATTGTTTTGCCAAATAATAAGGAACAATATTAAATCTTCAAACCACAAGTGAACAGCTAAGTATTACTTCCTTTTTCTCAAGAAAGTTGATGTTTCACCACAAATGACAACAAAAATTCAAAGTCATAGTAACCTCAATTATATATCTAGAAAACATCTTTGTTCTGTCAAATAAAACTTACAGGAGGCCATGGTATGGACTGCACTCCTGCAGCAGGCCCTAAAAGACCTAAGCAAAATGGAATTACTCATGGTAACATTCCATGTCACCAAACCAAAACTAAGTGGTTTTGCTGACCTCCAAGAAATGTGGAGAAAAAGAGCTAATAGGCAAATCCTAAAACAGGCCAGTTTTAGCATGACAAGGAAACCCTCTCCACTTTAACCTTTAGAAGAAAAATAACTTTGAAACGCCAATCTGCATTTTATTTTCGGTTCTGCTTTCCTCAGCTCTTTTCTATCTTTAAAGCCAACCTCCTTTGCTCAGCTCATTGAAATGCTCATTCCATTTTATGGAATAAAATGTTGCCTGAGAGGCAGATTCAAGATGGCTGAATGGGAACAGCTCTGGAGTGCAGTTCCCAGCGAGAACAACACAGAGGGTGAGTGAACATAGCATTTCCAAATGAGTCATTACTGCCCACAGACCAGGAGATTCCTAGAGTGAAAAGTGCCACGAGTTTTTGGCCTGGCTATTTCAACTGCTGCCTGGAGCACTGGGGAGACAGAGCTACCCATTCAACTGAAAAAAAGGGGGCTGAAACAGGAAGCCAGGTGATCTGGCTCAGCAGGTCCCACTCCCACAAAGACCAGCAATCTGAAATGCTCTGGACTGAGAATTTTGCAGCAAGCGCAGCTAGACCTGGGAAAGTCCAGCTCTGCTGGGGGAAGGGTGCCTGCCATTACCGAGGCAGTCCGCCATTACCAAGAGAGTTCTAACTATACCTCTATAAACAAAACCACAAGGAAGTTCACACAGCAGCTGGGCAGAGCCCTAGACAGCTCAGCAACACCTCTGCTGGCAGATTGTGACTAGGCTACCTCCTAGCTGGGCAGGGCATCTCTGAAAAAAGGCAGCAGTGTGTCAGGAACTTATACATAAAGCTCCACCTTCCCAGGACAAAGCACCTGGAAAAAAAGGTAGTTATGAATTCCACTGCAGCAGACTTAAAAGTACCTGCCCAGCAGCTCTGAACAGAACAACAGAGTTCACAGCTCAGTACTTGAGCTCCTATAAGGGACAGACTGACTCCTCAAGCAGCTCCCTGACCCCCGGAAATCCAAAGAGCCATCTCATAAAGAAGAGCTCAGGCTGACTTCTGGCAGATATCCTTCTGGGACAAAGATAACAGAGTAAGAAACTGGCAGCAACCCTCACTCTTCTGTAGGCACCGCAGGTGACCCCCAGGTAAGCAGGGTCTTGAGTGGACCTCCAGCAGTCCCACAGCAGAGGGGCCTGACTGTTAGAAGGAAAACTAAAAAACAGAAAGAAATAACTTCATCATCAACAAAAAGGACGTCCACTCAGAGACCCAACCCGAAAATCAAGAACTACAAAGACCACAAATAGATAAATCCACAAAGATGGAAAGAAACCAGTGCAAAAAGGATAAAAACACCCAA